GTAACTCGGATCACAACCCTGTTTTGTGGACCTCTACTGAAAGGAATAAATCCTTTCTTTGGAGAATAAATGAAGATTTGTTGGATAAAAAAGGTGTTATGGAAATGTTAAAAGAAGAAACAAAACAATATTTCCAACAAAATCTGAATAAAGAGACTTCAATACAGGTAGTGTGGGACGCTTACAAAGCTGTGATGAGAGGGATTCTCATCTCACAAAATGTGAAGCAAAAGAAGGAAAAACTTCAAAGGCAAGTGGAAGTATTGGAACAAATAGCCCAAAAAGAAAAAGAACTGAAGAAGAAACCGGGGAAAAAGAAGATTATTAGAGAACTACAGTTGCTGAAAGAACAGCTGAATGATTTTTTGAACCAAGAGCTTTATTGGAATTTAAAGAAGTTACAACAGAAATCTTTTGAAGGGGCGAATAAACCGGGGAAATATCTAGCTTGGCAACTCAAAGCAAGAAAAGAAAGAAGAATGATAACCAAAATTATAGAAGAAGGAAAAGAATTCGTTGACCCTAATGGTATAAAGAGAAGTTTCTTCAAGTATTATGCTAAATTGTTTCAAGCAAATAGAATTGATCTTGAGAAGATTGAAAGATATTTAGAAGAGATTCCACTATCCAAAATAAGCAAAGAGTTTAAAGATTTACTAAATGGGCCAATCCAAACAGAGGAAGTGAGGAAGGCAATTGAAGAAGCGAAGTTGGGGAAGGCGCCAGGGCCGGACGGATTTACCGCGAAGTTTTATAAAAAAATGAAAGAGGAACTTGTCCCGGCCCTGGAAGCTTTATCCAACGACATACGGATGTGCAAGAAAGTGCCAGACTCATGGAAAGAGGCAATCATTTCATTGATACCAAAGGAAGGCCAAGAACTAACGAATGTAAAGAACTACAGGCCAATTTCTCTCCTAAATAATGACTATAAGATCTTTGCAAAAATTATTGCAGAAAGAGTGAAAAACTACTTACAAACAGTGATTTCAGAAGATCAAGCGGGCTTTCTGCCAAAAAGACAAATTCGAGATAATGTAAGAATAGTAATGGACGCAGTGGAATACTATGAAAAGCACCCTGAAAAAGAGGTAACTTTTTTGTTTGTGGATGCGGAAAAAGCATTTGACAATCTTAATTGGAAGTTTATGTTACAGATGATGGAAAAAATTGATACGGGACAACAGTTCAGAAATTGTATTGAAGCTATCTATTCGGAACAAAGAGCTACACTGAATGTAAATAAAGAATTGACCGATAGCTTCAAGGTACAGAAAGGTACTCGGCAGGGTTGTCCCTTGTCACCGCTATTGTTCATTTGGGTGTTGGAGGTACTTTTACAAAAAATACAACAAGATCAAGAGATTAAGGGTTTGACACATAAAGGTTTTAAATATAAATACCGTGCTTTTGCAGATGACGTAATGTTTATTGTGGAAAACCCGACGGAAGAGTTACCGTTACTATTTCAAAAAATAAAAGATTTTGGAGAATTGGCAGGATTTTATGTAAACAAGAATAAAACGAAGCTTATTTGCAAAAATATGACGAAACAAAAACAAGTGGAACTACAAAATTTGGTACAATGTGAAGTGGTAAAGAAGACGAAATACTTAGGCATTGAGTTAACTGCAAAGAATATAGACTTATATAAGAACAATTATGAAAAACTATGGGCTAAGTTAACCCAAGACTTTAAGAAATGGGACAAAATGAACTTGTCACTGATGGGAAGAATTTCAGTTATAAAAATGAATGTCCTACCACGTTTGATGTTCCTGTTCCAAACAATACCAATACTTAGTAAGACAGATTTGCTGCAAAGGTGGCAACAAGAACTATCAAAGTTTGTTTGGGCAGGCAAGAAACCGAGAATTAAGATGAAAATACTTTGTGATGCCAAGGACAGAGGTGGACTACAGCTACCAAATCTCAGATTATATTATGAAGCGGTTTGTATGACCTGGTTGAAGCAATGGGTGAAATTAGAAAATGATAAGCTATTGGGGTTAGAAGGTCATGATTGTAGATTTGGTTGGCATGCATATTTATGGTATGACAAAACAAAAATGGATAGCTTTTTTAAGCATCATGTGGTAAGAAAAGCATTATTTGTGGTATGGATGAGATATAAAAAATATTTTGGTGATGTAAGGCCACTTTGGATTGTACCAGTGGAAGTGTTAACATCTTACTCAAGACGTAGAGACAAAGATTGGTTGCTGTATAAAGACATAATAAAAAAAGAGGGAACAGAATGGGTAATGAAAAAGCAGAATGAAATTGAATATGAATATGAATGGTTGAAATACATGCAGATCTCTGACCTTTTTAGGTCAGACAAAAGAAATTATGGTTTTAGAGAGGAAAAAAATGAAATGGAAAAGGTATGGGAGAGTGGAGGGGGAAAAGATATCTCTAAAATGTATAAAGTGTTGTTAAAATGGTATACAGAAGATGAGACTGTGAAAGAGCAAATGTTAAAATGGGCAATAAATATGAATAAGGAAATTGACATAGAAACCTGGGAATATTTGTGGAAAAATGCTATTAAAATATCACCCTGTACCAATGTTAGAGAGAATTGTTACAAAATGATGTATAGGTGGTATATGACCCCAAAGAAAATTGCAAATATGAACCAGAATATGTCAAATAAATGTTGGAAATGTAAAAAACATGAGGGCTCATTTTACCATATGTGGTGGACTTGTGAAAAAGCTACACTCTTTTGGACAAAAGTCCACAAAGAAATGCAAAAAATACTTAAGTGCTCTTTCAAGAAAGCGCCTGAAATTCTGCTTTTGGGACTAAAAATGGAAGAAGTTAACTCGACTAAAAGGACTTTATTCTGGTACCTTATTACAACAGCGAGGATGATTTATGCACAATTTTGGAAGACTGAGAAAGTACCAGAAATCGAAGACTGGATACAAAAAGTTCTGTTCATGGCAGAAATGGATAAAATTACAAAGAAGTTGAATAATCAAGACAACGTGTTTTTTCAAGAATGGAATGACTTTAAAATATATCTGGAAAAGAACTGGGATGTAAAACAAAACTTAATATGTTTAGATCAATATTAAGTCAAATGATGTTATCTTGAGGTTGGATGATAACAAATGATGTGTTAATGATATAATGAAATTTGTAAGAAGGGGGAGAAGCATTGCGGGAAGCCACTGGAGGGAGGGGAGGAAGGGAATGAGGTAAACAATGGACTGAATGATTTAATCTTATATGTTATGTTCCTAAGAAAATAAAAATTTGTTTACCAAAAAAAAAAGGACAAAGTTAATTAAGTTGGTATTTTTATCTCATCAATCCCAAACCATTTTCACTTAACAAAAACATATTTTGGCATGAAATACATCTCTAATATAGCCCCCATGGTAATTGAATTTATAAGAAAAAAATCTAAGATGGTTAGGAAAGCTCCTGTTTTCTGGAAATACATTCCAATCTCATGTAATAACAGTTTCTTAATGAACATGTATGTGAATGTTTGTGGTTTCATGCTATTGTGTGTGGAAAACTATATTACATTAACTGAAACCCCTAAGTTACCTGGTCAGCATTTTTGCTTCTGCCATGTTAAAATTTGATTAACCCTCCCACAAGGCCACGGAGTCACTCATTAAATGCTGTGAGTTGACGGGAATGCTAGCAGTTGAGAAAATGAATAAATAAGAAGGTAAGAGAAAGAAGAGCACTAGTGTGCATGGCAAGGGAGGTTACATTTGGCTTAATTTTTTTTATTGGATGTGGAGTCCCAGCAATATTAAGGATTATTTTGTTCACTCTAAAAGGAGCTGCAAATCCTTTGAATCATAGGTTGGGGTTGACTTCACTGTTTCTTTCATGGACAGCTTGTTTACAATCTCAAAACTAATGGATAATGTGAAAGCACATAAGAGCCACGGACAACTTAGCAGTGTCCTTATGAACCCTTCCACAATTATCTAGCTGGCTTTTGGTCTCCTCGCCTTCAGCCTACCTGTAGAACATTAGATTCCACCATAGAACACTAGATTTCACAACACATCAATGCATTTTGGTTCAAAGCTGTTTCTGAACATAACTCTGAGAGCAGTGTTGCAGTAATATCTTGAAAGAAAAGGGTGATGACAGCTGCTGATTAAAATGAGGAAGTTTATGGTTCTGGAAGGTCTCTAGGAATGAGGGATCATTAGGGATGTATTTAGTTCAGAGTATTTAAGTCAGCCCCATTAGTGAGGTTTTCAAATCCATGAGTGCAGCTGCTAATGCCACAAACTTGTTGATCTCTGGAATATGATTTTACAGAAGACAAAAGCAGAGTTCCAGTGTGCCATGTTCTGCATGTGCATGGGAGGGGGGCTCAATTTCTCACCTCTGGTGGAAGTAGCCCCCCCTGAACCCCTTGAAAAACACCTCCCAAGGAGCAGCAATTTGGAGCAGCAATCCCCAAGGTGTAAGGGGAAGCTACTGAAAGGAAAAGTCAACTCCCACCTCATGTATAATCAGTTCAAGCATGCACTTGGGCTTCTTTAGATCTAGGATATGGTTCTGGTGCCCCCGGGATCTGACTTTCCCCATATGAAGATACCATATACTGAATCCAACAGCTAGTCCATCAGAGACAGTATTCACTACTCAGACTGACAGCAGCTCTCCAAGGTTCAGATGAAGGTCTTCCAACAACACCTGCTGCCTTGTCCTTACTGGAGATGCTGGGGTGTGAACCTGGGACTGCCTGCTTGCCAAGCAGATAACCCTGCCATTGAGCCACAGTGCCTCCCTGGCCTCTCTGTTTACTTTCTGTGTATTAGGCTTCCACAACAAATCATGAGAAAGATGTACATTGTTCTTTCAGTGCAGGTGAATAATGTATGTGCAAAGCGTAAGACCATGAGATGCTTTCCCATCTGTATATTTATAGGCAGATTTTGAAGTGAAAAGTTATGCTTGTGATCAGGTGGAACTTTGTTTTTCAGAACTGTTGCATTCCTTTCTTCCAGATAAGAACAGCAGCATCACAGCTGATATCTGCCTTAGAAAGAATGAACACTCAGTCACAAACTCCACTGCAGATACCCGGTCAGAACAAAGCTCGTTGTGGGGACTAATGGTAGTTGCCCAGCTGTTGGCAGGAATCGGGAGTGTCCCAATTCAGCCTTTTGGGATCTCCTATGTGGATGATTTTGCAGAGCCAAATAACTCTGCTTTATATATAGGTAAATGTTTTCTTGTAATTTAAGTAAGACAGTGCCTTTATTTTTGAAGCTTGGGTTCACTTTACCTTACTGTAAGTGTGCTTTGGGGGAGGATCCTAACTATGGAAAAGTGTCTTCCCATTCTTGATATATAGCCAGTTCTACTGAGTTGCACAGATCTGATAGTTCCCTCTATTGATAACATCCCACCTTCTTCCAAGGGGCTCAGGGCAGTTTGTGTGGCTCTCTCCTTGTCAGTTCTGTCCCCACATCCACTCTGTGTTGTAAGTTAGGGCCAAGGTCACCCAGTGAGCACTATAGGGATTTGAACCCATGTCTCCCTAGTCTTACCCAGACACTGCTATCTCTACAGAGCACCCTGTAGTGTAAACTGTAACACTGAAAGGACCTAACACCCAGGCCTGCTAGCAAGACTGACGTGGGTATACTGAAAATCCTCAAAGTTCTTTCCAATATGATTCCTTGAATCACAGTGGTGGCTGAGGGGGCACACTCCTGTGAGTGAAAACTGCAGTGCTCACCATAAGAAACCCCCTTCTATCAAAGAAAGCACAGCAGAGCATGGCAAGAGGCCTTTTGACATAAATAGGAGGACCATGGGGAGAACATGGACAAACAGGATTCTACAAACTATCAAGCAGTTCAGCTTCAGGTTTTAAAATTGTGAACTGGCTTTCTTGAAGGTCAGGACAAAGTTTGATTCAGCTTTTAATCAAAGGTTTGTGCTTCTTATGGGTGAAGGGGGAGAAGACTTCTTTAAAAAGAGAGAAGCTATTTTTAAAGCTTTTTTTTTGTTGTTGTTGTTGTTCTAGGTCGGGGATGGCCAAACTGCAGCTCGGGAGCCGCGTGTGGCTCTTTCACACCGTCTTATTTAATGTTAAGAGAAAGCAAATCTCTATATTTTTAAATAAAAACGTGTGTGTAATATTTGTTCATACCTTGTGGCTCTCAAACATCTGGTGTTTATCCTGTGTGGCTGTTACATTAAGTTTGGCCACCCCTGCCTTAGGTGAATTTAACAGGCCAATTCTCTAACTGGAGGCTTTGAGGGAAAGTGTGAAGTCCAGTCTTAAAATCCATTGGCTGGGATTTTTTCCCAGTGTTGTGCCAGGACAAGTGTCCCAAGCCTCCTCAAGCCATCCTTATCATACGGCACAAGGTGCCACTAGCATGAATGACTTCGCAAAGTCAAAGGTGGCTGCTGCATCCCAGTTAGGACCAGCTCTTGGCACCCCGACCTTTGGGACTCTTAATGCCTGGCTAATGCTCTGCTGCCACTCTGCAAACAACAGTGGCCTGAGGTTTTTCAGTAAGTGGGAATTTTTGGATTTGGCAGGTGGAAATTATGAGAATACTCAATCCCGATCTAAAAAGCTTCCATTTGTTTCCAAGGCTGTTACAGGTTTCCCCTAGTAGAATTCCAAATGACTCGGCTATGGACTTAAGCCCCAGGTTGGCTATTAGTATTCCAACTACTGTTTGTTTGCTCCCTGTACTTCTACTTGGCCTTTCTCGCTGAAAGCAGGTAGTTCTGGATTACTCGGTTCACGCCTGATTCAGATACAGATGTGCTGTTTAAGAAGCTCTAAACCTCTCATTAGCTTTCCTGTATCATATCTTCAACTGCTGGCCAGAGGTATACCTCAATAACAGTTCTAGTTTATTTTGGGTATAGAAGTAATACTATTAGGGAATCTCTGCTTCCTTTTTAAGCTTTCATTAGAGCATAACTATTGCTTTCTTTATACTGACTAAATCAACAGAAGATTATACCTAGATCATTAAAAGTGAGCGATTAGGTAAAGGTAAAGGTTCCCTTGCTCGAAAACCAGTCGAGTCCGACTCTAGGGTTGCGGTGCTCATCTCCGTTTCAGAGCCGAAGAGCCAGCGCTGTCTGAAGACGTTTCCGTGGTCATGTGGCCGGCATGACTAAACACCAAGGTGCACGGAACGCTGTTACCTTCCCACTGAAGTGGTACCTATTTATCTACTTGCAATTTCTTGCTTTTGAACTGCTAGGTTGGCAGGAACTGGAACTAGAGACGGGAGCTCACTCCATCATGCGGCACCCGGGTCTTGAACTGCTGAACTACCGACCTTCCACAGCCTGCAGTTCAGCGTCTTAACCACTTGAGCCATCGCAGCTCATTACATTACATTACATTACATACATTACATAAGTCCAAAATAAGTAGGTCACAGGCAATGACCCCCTTTGAAGAAAAAAACTCTATTCAGCTTCTCCTGTTTATAGGATTTTAACATTGTCTTCGAACAATAGTTAATACAGTCTCAGCTTACTCATTATCTTATAACTTCAAGCACCATACAAAGTTATCTATACTGTTAGCTCATTCTTGCTAATTATTTTAACAAAGTCTATTCAAAAACAGTGATTACAAGTTTCTCATACGTATGGATGTCTTCTGGCCCTCAACCAACACGTCTTTGAATAAGGTCTTCACTTCCATGAGGTTGGGCCTCAACAAACAGTATCTATTGATATGTGTTCTAATCTACACAAGACTGTATAACTGTGTTACTACTTTGTTTTTGTCCCTGTCCAAGTCAATTTTGTTCTGGGTCTCTAAACTCCCTTTTTGGCATGCTTTAACTGGGAGGCCAGGCTAGCTTTGTTTTTGTGCACAGAGACATCTATTGTTGTTGTTGTTGTTGTTGTTGTTATTCCCTTCTGTTTCTGGCTATATCCACAACAGGATTACAGAATCAGAACAAGCAATGTGATAAATAAGACAGTATGAGATAGGCCATAAACAATGTAGTAACTAGATTACAAAGAATTGAGATTAGTGTAGTACAAACAATATACATACAGAAAGCAGTGTAATAGAATACAATCCAATATAATGCATACAACAAACAGTGCAATACACAATAACCCTGTTCCCTATATAAAAGTCCAAAGACATAAAGAGGAAAATCTAAAATAAAGAGGAAGAAGTAATCTGGCAGGAGGTGTTACCTTCATGCCTGAAATGTTTCAGCTGAGGGTTCATTCTCCCATTTTCATGTTCTCTATCTGTTTGTGGTTGTTGGTGTTTTTGTTAGATGCTAAGTAATTGAAAGGTGACTCAAATAAGTTGAGAGCAGGGCATGGCAAAGGGTCATAGAAGCTTGCAGGCACCGAGAATTGTGGTTATCTGAATATTCTGATAATGAGGGTTCGTTGTTCCAAACTATCTCTTTCCAGTTATTAAAAAGGAAACCAATTAAGTGATAACATTTCTTTCCAGTGTAGAAAGTGAAAAGCATAGTAAACATAATGATTAGCAAGCTGTAAAAGATGGCTGAAATGAGACCGGAGGGCTCAGTTTTACAGCACTTGTGCATGCTAGTGCACAACCAGCAATAATACTTTAGCAATACTGGTTACTGGGAGGGCCAGGCAGATCTGAGTGTGTCCTTAAAATAAAAGGGACCAGCTCAGGCCCAGTTATACAGACAAAGCAGATGTGCGTTTATTTCCTTATTTTGCAGAATATGTTTCTGCAGGTCACAGGAGGGAGCAAGGAGCTGTCATTTTAGAGCAAGTACAGTTTGGTCTGGGAACACTGAATCCATATTTTTGGTACAAAAGACTGGGTGGCCATAGTCAAATAAGTAAGAACAAAGCACTTTTCTGCTGAGTGCTGAGAAGTCCAGGTTCTCTGTGGTCTTTATTTTCCAGAACGTTCCATTTTGTTAACAGAGTTGATGCTCACTAAGTACCTGTTATCAATGCTGTTAATTTTTATGGAACTGAGAGATGACACAGCGTTCCCAGCCTTGAGTTTCTGAAAAATCTTTATGGACTTTGGAATCCATGCTCCACAAAGCCAAGTAGTCCTCACAGAATATTTTAATATGCATCTCAGTCTACATGAGAACCGGTGTGATGTAGTAGTTAGAGAATCAGACAAGGAAGTAAGAGACCCAGGTTCAGATTCCCATTCTACCATGGAGACTCACTGGGCCAGTTTTATGCTCTAAGACTAACCTACCTCATAGAGTGGAGGTGGTGAGAATATAACAGTGGAGGGGAAGGGAAATGATGTTATAAGCCAGTTTGGGTCCCCAGTGGGGAGAAAAACAGAGTATAAATGTCTAAATAAATGAATGCATCTCATGTTGAACATTAAGCACTTAATATAAATATATACAATTCAGAATGAGTCTGTGTTGGATCTTTTTTACTTCTTCCTATTACTTGAAGCATTAAGTGTATTAATTATAGGAATGAAAAATCAGAATAATTTATTTGCAGATGTTTCCTAAAAGATGACTTTCTTCTGAAGTACATAAAACTGCATCAAACCCAAGTAGACAGTAAAAGATTTTTAATAAAGTGAAAAGTATGTTCATCTGTGCTTTGAGGTAAAATGTTTTGTAAACTTAGGATCAGAGATCCTCTCCTGTTAGGCTTTATTGTGCCACATTTGATGAACATATGAAATGCCCTCATTGGTCCAACTTGCTCAGTATTGTTCAATATTGTCTGTTCTGACCTGCATCGGCTCGGAGATCTCATTCAGAGAGAGGGTCTTTCCCAGTACCTCCTAACTGGGATCTCTGAACCGGAAATGCCAGAGACTGAACATGGAGGTAGTCCAGGGAAGACAGCTGCTCTACTACTTAGCTACAGCCCCACTTCTATAGTTATTGCTTTGCAATAGTCCATTTGGAGTTTGGCAGCAATCTCGTGTATGGTTTGGCTGCTTATGTGGTTTGGCGGCTTGAATTCCCTTGATTTCAATGAATGTAAGTAACCTAACTTTGTTCAGGGTTGCCACTGTCACCTTTTGTTCACAGTTGGGCTAAAGTACTCATAAAATTAGGATCCAAAAATACATTTGACTGTAATTACTTCTGGCAGTGCAATCCTAAACAGAGTTACATCCTTCTAAGGTCATTGACTTCAGCTGCCCTGTGAGACTGTGGAGTCTGCAGAAGACACAATTCTGAAGTTTCCAAGTTGTCTGGGAGCAATTCTTCTTCACAGGTTCAGGATCTTCCCTTTGACAACTCATCTCTGTGCTTCTGCGCGTATTCTTCTGTTGTCCTAAGTGTTTTAAGCATTGAGTATCACAAATAAGCATTCTGTTTTCAGTGTGCATTTGTACCAGTTCCAGAATGTGTATCCTTGTCCATGTATCTTTGTTGAACACTTTTGTAAGTTTGAGATACATCGTGGATAGAACATTGTTAATTAAGAACTGCTAAATTTCAACAAGAACACTTTCCTAAGTTTGAGACATATTGTGGGTGGAGCATTGTTAATTAAGCATTGCTAAATTGCTAAATATCAACAAGGGGCTGTGGTGGCTCAAGTGGTTAAGGCGCTGAACTGCAGACCGAAAGGTCAGTAGTTCAGCAGTTTGAGACCTGAGTGCCGCATGACAGAGTGAGCTCTCGTCTCTGGTCCCAGCTCCTGCCAACCTAGCAGTTCAAAGCAAGAAATTGCAAGTAGATAAATAGGTACCACTTCAGTGGGAAGGCAACAGCATTCCATGCACCTCAGTGTCTAGTCATACTGGCCACATGACCACGGAAATGTCTTCGGACAGCGCTGGCTCTTCGGCTTGGGAACGGAGATGAACACCGCATCCCTAGAGTCGGATCCGACTGGCTTTCGAGCAAGGGAAATCTTTGCTTTTACCTAAATATCGACAAGATTGATGGTATCCTTTCAAATGGCAGTTTCTCTTTGGATAAATAAGTGGTGCAGCATTAAAGTGCTGAAGAAATAATTAACTTTTTTTAGTTTTAAATACTGTTTACCTCTCCTGTGTGCTTAAAAAAAACATGCTCCATAAAGAATTACCGTAGTGGTTTGGAAGCCGCTTAACTGACATAATACATGATTATCCATTAATTCATTTATTAATTCCATCTCTCTCACTTTCAGCAATCTTATTTGCCATATCAGTGTTTGGCCCAGCATTTGGATATCTCCTTGGCTCAGCAGCACTGCAGATCTACGTGGACACTGGGAGAGTTGACCTGAGTGAGTGCCTGTCATTTAAACATTTAAACTATTTTTGTGTTGCCTTTCCACCCACTTATAATGGAGGCCTTACAGTTTAGGCTCTAAGCTAGGGTTGCCAACTTCCTGGTGGGGCCTGGAGGTCTCCTGGTATTACAAGTTGTCTCCAGACTACAGAGATCCCATTTCCTTGGAGGAAAAGGCAGCTTTGGAGGGTGGACTGTGTGGCATTAAATCCCACTGAGGTCCTTCCCCTCCTCAAAACCTGCCCTCCCCCAGGCCCCCACTCCCAAATCTCCAGGAATTTCTCAACCCAGCATTGGCAATCCTACTCTCTCATACATTCATGAGCCCATATTCTGAGTCACATGATATGTCTGGGACTTGGAAATTGACCCACAGCCATGCAGAATCCGCATCTGTACTCTTATTGCTAGCGTTGTTGCAGAATGCACAGAATGGCTTCTCTGGCTCCTGTCACAGATTCTTGATATTTTGCTGAGTGACAGGCAATCCCCAAACGGGCACAGTCAGAGATAATGGCATGTACCCTACCAGCAAAGTCTGAAGCCTTCCTACAGGCTGAGGCCTTACCTATATGTTCCAATGGACACAAGCTATGTCAGGGGTCCCTTGACATGACTCCCAGCTACACTTGGATGGGGTGGGGGCTCACCTTTATAAAATACTGTCTTGTTTGGTGCAGTTTCAAGCACTTCAGGGGGGAAGGGGCTTCAGGGTTCCCTCCCACACTGTTTTTGCAAGCAGAAATAATCAAGGGAGAAGCTGTTTGCTCCTTTCTTGGGCTCTCTCTGTATCCTGTGAAACTGTGACTTGTGTAAATTGTAACATGTAGATTATCCCTCAGGAGCCTTCCTCCAATAGTCAAGCCACTTAAGATGGAGGAAGATAGGATGCATGCCCTGTGGTTTTCTCTGATTTCCTGTACCTGAATCAAAAACTTCTTCACTGTTCACTGTTGCAGATGAGTGCCATAAAGCAGGTAGCAGGTTAGCGAATATTATTGCTGTGAGCAACTTAACTGAACAATAAGGTAACTGGGCATGCAGTGTGCAGCAGTGATTCAGATCTGTACCATTGCCTCAAAAAACAGGATCACGAAACTGCGGGGGAAATCGGGCGAACCCACGGGTCAAAATCAGCCTCGCGGCTTCGGGTGTGAAATTGACCAATAGAGCCAGGGCAAACGGCGGCGCAACAGCGAGGCAGCTCTAGTGCGAAATCAGCCTAAGTAATGACACCATTCTAAGTTTGTTGAAGTCAATGGGCTTAGAAGGATGGCCTGAGAGCTGATCTCTGTTTCTGCCAGTTTGCTCCATTACAGGCCCAAGCATGTAGTGTGGTGTTCGTTCCAGCAGCCAGGGGTTTTCTTTTTAGATTGTTTCGATGCTGAAGAATTCTGCATTTCTTTGAAGCAATGTAGGTTTACAGACTTACCATCTGAGCGATATTGAAAGTAAATGTGCTGAGATCAGGTGAAAACAAAACCCTGGGTCCATTCTTTGTGGTCGTACCTTGATGACATCACCCGATCTGGAGTGGGATAGCCACATCCAGGGAAGCTGAACCATTGTTTTGGTGAGGCATGGGCTCTTTTTGCATGCACACTTCTTAATCCTGGAGGGCAGGAAGTCGGCACAGAGCAGCAAGAGCTGTGGAAACTGCTATTTATTCTTTCCCCTCATAACAATGAGGGTAGACACTTTCCATGCCAGCTCCAGTGAAGTGCGAACCTCTTCTGATCAAGGCCTCCTGCTTGGAGGATGTCCGCTCTAGAAGTGGAATGATTTTCTGTCTCTTGTCTAGGGTCCCCAGGGAGTGTGGACTGAAAATTCGGCCTCATTAAAACTGTTGTGCCGCTAACATCAGTGACAAAGCTTGTGCTTGACTCTCGGCCAACAAACCTCTGCCCGGCCTGGGAACAATGGGATGGGAGATTCTTTCCAGGAAGAGATCAGCTAATGTTTCCATCTGCCCTGCCTGCACATATCGCTAG